CGTAATCATTACTAAACGGCCAGCGTTGTGTGTAGAACAGCAGCTTTGAACAGTCGTGCGAGTCGGCATGTACTAGGTCGATGGGTCAGTGTGTTTCTTCACCGCTGGCCGGTCAAACCTGACTGCAAAAGGCTGCTGAGGCAGGACATTCACCTAGACAAACGGATAACAATACGGGAATGTTAAATTGGTGTAACATATTCCATACGTCCCCCAGCCACTAGGATATGAATGTACCATGGCGAACTGTTTTGCTGGACATTCTGCATTTTAGTTGTAGGCTCTTGCATGCTAGCGTACCGTTAGGCCAAGCAAGTAAATTTTGCCTAGAGAACGATTTTTAATCAGCAACTCTCGGACTGTGTCCACAGATAGAATTTGTTTTAAACATCTTCTTGACAAAGTTCAGGCCTAGGAACCTGTCTAACCTTACAGAAGCACGGTTTTTTTTACTTGTGCCACTCCGCGTACTTCGAAACTTTCGTAGCGGATCGATTAATATTTTGAGCATAGCCATTTTCTGGAGTCGTTATGGCTTGTATAGCATTTATAAGGATGTGCAGCTTTTCCATCCACTTATTTCTTCCTCGAAAGAGGGTAATACTGTACAGGGGAAAACTTCTCTACTGATGGCAAAACAAAAAGGCCCTACATTAATTTATTGTGAAAAACGAAGTAACAAAATTTCAATCAACGAATGTCAATCAGTATACTATAATTTCGCGTGGAAGAAAATCCCTCATATCAGTATCAGCTAGATCGTTCAAAGATAGTACCTTTCTCCATAAAAATACACTTTGTTTGTTGAATTAAGCCCATCAGCTTAACACTGGCCTACGATGAAAGGCCAATTAGTCTGCGCTAAGCGGTAAGTTACTAAACTATCTAACGGCTATGCTTATGGCTCAGATTTATTTATTATCTTTTCTCTCTATATCTATAAACATAGAAACCTTACATATATCACTTTTATCAGAATTTTTAATTAATATACTACACCAAGAGATCACAGTGCTACATAGATGAATGGGCAAGACGTACTTTTGTAGTAGAAAAAAAGGCTGAAAACGGAGCAAGTAAGAAAAGCTAGATGCAGCTGTATATAGAAAGGAAATCGCAGCAAATTTACGTACGATGACGATTTCTGATACACACGAGTATCACGGTTTCAGATTTAACTTCCGTCAGGTAACTTCAGTGCCAGAAGTCGACAGAATAAATAGTACGCTCTAATATCTTACTAAACCTGTTCGAGAGAGTTTGATAACTTACACTATCTATTTACTGTGCTAAAGCAGAGTAGATTGTGTTTAGATAATGGGAATTTGTTGCAAACGTCGCATTCGGCCAAGGACTATTCTAGCCTTAGTAAACATTTTGGACGACGAACCTTCAAAAATTAATGTAAATATTACTTCTTGTTTCTTTCCTTAAGCACACCCATCGTCTAGTATATGTAAATATTTACATGGCATCGTTTAAGCAGAAGTTGTGCCGTTAGGAGCTTTTGAGTGCTTTGAGACGGCTAGTCTGTCAATTTATTTTGTTAGCGTGCATATACTGTAACCACTATGGAGCAACTACATAAAGCAAATCCACACAATCCTTATTTCTTATTAGTTCAACTCTCAAGACATTGTTTCAACAGTAAATATGTTTCAGTTATTAGATGAAACCTCGATTATATGATCGTCATCACTAGGCAGTCACTACCAGTGTTTCCCCTACCAAGTTTTTCCCCTAAGAAGATAACGAGACAAAATCGGACTAACACGTGCGGAAGATGGATAGCAACGAGGCTGAGCGGATCCATGTTTCCGCTTTCAATGTCCAAGGAGATTCAGAACCAAAGGTTATCAGGCTGTCCAGTCAACCGATAAAAAATGAATATTTAAACATTTAAAGCTATCGTGAGTTAGAGTTTGGCTGCTACAGGGACTCTCTATAGTTTTTGTTTTCTGGGTCGCACCATGGTGGTATTGTACCTAAACACCTAAAACAATTTATAGATAAACCTGTTTTAAAAAAATGCTAGGTTAAATGTTAGTCATAGTTATTGAATCAGTTGTGCAGACGTCAATTGCTTCTAATTTTTTTTTTATTATTTTGATATTTTTATGATTTTTTTAGTTTAATATATGAATTGATTTCTCCTAACATTGGTGAAATTAACAACAACAACAACAAAAACAGGTCTTCCCGTAGAGAAATTGATTTTAATGGAAGCGAAGCTAGCTTACCCAGTATTTTGCCAGGTCTTAGGCCCGGACCAGTTTTGCTTTCTATTTTGTTCCTGAAAACACAAATTATATTTCAATTCTTTTAGGCTGTAAAAATATTTTTCTGAAAAATGATTCACTCTACAAACGATGATCAGATTTTTGTTTTAATTAGAACGAAATGATTATTTCTGCTTTAAAATGTGTCATCGTAGATTCCGCATCGATATACGGTTATTCTGGTAGTAAAGTCTATAAGAGATCTTGATAATATTGTAACACCCACTTATGCAAGCAATTCAGACAACACCATTAGTTTGTAAGGCTGTCTTCCGTTTTTCCATGAAAAACCTGAAACTCCATATGATTTTTTTCTAAAATTAAGGTTTACCAAATATATATATATAACCTCCTACAAATACGACTCCATCTAAAATGATTCATTAAAGCCTTAAAACATAAAGATGTAACATGAGAATCCTTGTTCCCAGGTCAATGCTGATACAATCGGACGCCCGTTTGTTCGTACCTAAACTTCTAATCGTACTTGTACGGTTCTTAATCTACGTTCGCGTAACTCAAAAAACGGATCGCAGTAACCGTTCAAATAGTCCTAACCCGAAAAAAAGCCATAAAATGCGTTAAATATTACGAATGCGGGACTAAATGTATTCTATAATTTACTTTATTGTGCACATTTGCCCCCTTTGATAAAATAAAGGTGACTTGACTCTAAATAGACATTAAAAAAACCAATACCAACTGAATTTTTGCGGTTGGCCAAAACAACTAAGTAGGGGCAAAAATGTTGATCTTATGTGCGCTTAACTAGCGAGTCGTATATTGCAGAGAAGGCACTATATACATTAACGTACCCTATATACGTAGCACCACAAGGCTGCCTTTAATGGTTGTGATCTTTGTATAACTGCGTATTGGGTTGAACTGTATAATGTATGATATAATTGCTATTTGTCTATCATGTGGCAATTACCTTGCACTGTTTTCTCTCGAACTTCTATCCTTACATTTTGTGTGTGCGGCGTTAGTCATGGCTGGAGCTCACTGGCCTCCAACATAAATGCTCGGCTTCGATTCCTTTCATCGTAAGGGATTTTCGTTATAAGTGAAGGCTTGTATTAACACAATTAAGTTACCAAATGATATCATTCGTTCGAGTACGGTCGGAGCTTCAATAAATGCAAATGTGTTCGACACATTGTGCTATTATGAATTTTCTAATGATGAAGTTAGCCTACTGTGAATGAATGAATCTTTTGAATAATTTTGTGAAATGTATCTAGACTAAAAGGGATTTATCTTCTGTCAGATAGGTATCAAAGTTCTCTATGGGCATTGGTACGCACGTCGGGAATAGCTTCCATGGCCAATCTTCGTGTGAACGTCAAACATCATCTGTCTATAAATAATCTAACGTGCCATCGGACAATAGTAAAAAGAACACCGTCGGATGCTATATGGTAATTTTGGATTTATTCATGGATGGTACTCGTACGTCTTCCCGATGGTGGTTTTATCGCGATTAATAACTAACATCATTGTGCATGAAGAAGACCCAATGTTCCGCTTTTGTTGGAAAAGAATAAACGCAACCAGGTCAAGGAATGAGACAAATCGAGTTAATGAAGCATCTGTCTATTCAAGTTTAATCTTCTTGTGGGGTGCTGACACCCCCCCCCCCCCTTAAGTTACATAAAAAAGCTTTTGTAATCGATAACACACCATTAGTGCTGTCTTTTCTTTGTGTATAACAAGAAATGTGGTTTACTGCAGGCGGCTATGACAGCATAATGGAAGTGGCCAAAACATTTATAGGAAATCTATTTGTATTTGTTAGCTAAGTAGCCGCATGTATCTGCTACAAGAATTAGCGCTATTGTGGAGATGGCCTATGGTGAACGACCAAATAACTATGCGTTTTTGGCCTGCTTTGAATTCGCCGGTGGCAGAAAAGAGAAATGATACCAATCACAAGTAGTATGTGCAGAAAACTACACCGCACTAAGTTATCCCGAACAAACGTTACGTGTAAGTAATCTAAACAGCTTTCCGCATATCTAAACCCAGTTATTTCCCTTACTTTTCAAAATAGAAGTTTTTGAACGGATGGAATTAGCTCAACAGAACACGTGTTTGCAGCAAATTATCGGTTGGCTATATAAGCAAGGGTAACGAGTGACCTGGCACAAGCTATAGAAGCCGTACGACATCATCGCTAGAAGCCAGACAACTCTCAACTAATCCCTTACGTGCATTCAGTTTCCAGAAGATATTAAACATTGAATATCCTGCGGCGATCACGCGTAAAGTGTGCTTCTCACCTTTTGATTCTAAAAAAAACCTGCTCAGACGCTTGTAGTCTTTTCATCGGATGTGTCGATTTAAGTCATCGACCCTAAGCTTTTGCCTTCTTGTACTGCGCGTCTTAATTATCTGCAGCGTAAATACGGTTCTACGAAAGATCTGAAAATTTGTATTGTTTTACCTACGTTTAATATGGACAATGCATGTGAAGTCTAGATTACAGAATTACTACATTTTTATCTTCTTATTATTATAGTATGTTCCTTCAGCCGAGTGCCGAACACTGTCTTGTTAGGCCTCATTGAACCCAAGTCCACATGGGGCCGCTAGTTAGCTTAACGCCATTATTTGGACGACACGCTGTGGTTGGATTTCAGGTTTCGCGGGTCTCTGGAACGGACCGCCAACCATCTGACCTTTATCTAAGGCAGTAGCACCCGATGTAAGACCGCTAACCGAACCAGTTGGTTTTTTTTTTATAGTTTGGACTGCTGATCATGTTGCTGCTGTGGTGTCTCTGAACGCGATAGTTGCATAGGCGAAACTGGGCGAGCTCTGGGAAGGCGTCGTATCCCGGATCGGAAAAAGCCTAAATGACAGTCGAATCCAGGCGCACAGCCTGGACATTCACCTATCAAGCAACGAGAAAGCTAGTAAACATAGTTTAAACACTCCTTAGAATGCACGCTAATAACTAAGGTCATCATAATCATATTATTGGAATAGATTTGAAGGTGCAACACAGACGTTCATTAACTTTTGAAAATAACATGAGCTTAAAAACAATATCAAGCCATTTCGCAAATTTACAAAACATCCGAATCAAAATGTGCGATTGTGATCTAACACTGTTAAAAGACCATAATAACACGAGGGACTCATGTGTCGAAAGCCCTCGGGGGCTATCTGTAAAAGTCAGCCGACTGATTAACCTTCGTTTACAAATTACGACCATTTGCTCATTATTAACCATTAATGCGGGCTTGCAGTTGCTAATATGTTAGTAAAATACATTGTTACTACGATCCGTTGCGGGTTAGAGAAGTTGTTTTCGCTCACCAGCTAATCCACCGAGAAAACTTGGAACGTAGCATGGCTCAGGACAGATTATGCAGGGCGGACAAACACAAATAGGACATGCGTTCGTGTCCCTTGCCAGGTCGCAATGCAGCGGGCATGTCTGTTGTAAAATAAATGCATTCGATGAACAACCGAGGCCGCCTAGAAACGACAGAGTATCGAGGTAGGATTCCTGACGGAAGATTTTGTACTTCCTAACTAATCTTCGTATAAAATAAATATATTGCTTATAAAACGTCATCTTAATTATGTTCTAGTCTATACGACTCAACATCTGCACAAAGGTTTTCATTATACTTGTTAAGTAATCGCATGTTATTGAATTAATTCACTTTAATTTTATACAGCATGGTCTCGAAGTTTATCTTTGCCTCCTTTGCTCAATAGTTTACTGCTATTGTTGTCAATGCGAGACTATGTTTTAAGCAACACTTACCTAAAAGTCCCTGAGCTTTTGAAAGGTGGAAAAAGCTCGTGCAGCCGATCGCGATGATCAACTCAGTTTTCATGGCTGGTCCGATGCGGAATCCTGCTGATATCTGAATGGTACACTGAGCTGTCAACTCTGCCAAGAGACGGCGTCTCTCGATAAGTTTGCCTCGCTTATCAAATAGTCAGCGCATTGCAAAGATGTACCTAAACATATTCCTCTCAATTTCAATATGGCAGTAAGAAATCTAATACTTGGATTCGTTTGTATAAACAGCTCACAATTAAATAGGCTCACAGATCTGATGCCCTAAGGTATATTTAGGTAAAGTTAATGCGTATATTTAGTAAGCGTTGTATGCTGTCGCATGGATTGCGTCCTGTTACGAGTTAGGCCTGGACAAACGGACGCACATACGTCCGGGAACTGCAATAGAGTTCAGTTTTGTTCAGATAAAATTAGTAATACTCTAGGATTAGCACGACCGTTGCTCCATGGAACTCGACAGTTAATGCTAGCTATATAGTTCAATATAATACACAAAGTAGTTCTCTTTTTTTTTGCCTTAAACCTTGAAACGGTTGACCTTGCTCTCTGTATATTACATCATGTCACCCCGACCATTTTTCGGAAATTCCCTAAGCGAGGGCCAACAGCATAACTCGGCTCGTTTTAGCTCCCCGTCGAAATCCGTAAAGAACGGATAGACGTACGTAGCTATCTATTGTTAGCGATCGTATCTGTGGGTCTTGCTCAAAATGAGTTGGGCTGTTTCTCCTATAAAGTGACACTGCTACAGTAACTACCGGTCAGTGCTAAAATAAATGGCGTCTAATTTGGTTTCCTACAGCGATTCAGCTAATCGAGCCGATTTCAATATCGCATCGCCCGTCCAGTTCCGATTACTGCGGCCAATGAGTTTATCCATTTACCGCGCCCCATCGCGAGCGTACACACACGAGCTCCCTCTCTCCCATTACAACAGGGCGCGAGCTATCGGCAACACTGCAAATGCGATCTGTCAAGAAGAATAAGCATAGCACTGCTGAGCTACATCTCGAGGCGACAAGTTAACGACATTACCCAAGCCAGAGCTTCTTCGACAATAAAGAGAAAGGGTGTCGCGGGCAGTATAGGATCGCCCCATAGTTTGTTGCAGTAACAAAACAAACAAGCTAACGAAACTACGCAAGTGACTAGAGTGAAGTCGGGACGTTGTGGAGTAGCAAAGAAATTTCGGTGTTTCTGGCAGGTCAGTCACAGAAATAGCCGATCGTTTAGTGCCGGCACTTGGCCCTTCCTACGTGCCTCTCTCTCCTGCAAACAGCAGAGAAACGTTACAAGGTTGGGTGCTGATTTAGGACCACCTTCTTTACCAAAACGAATCGCGGTTGACTAACGGGCGGGCGGGAGAAAGTTTGTCGATGTGCCGAAAAGACAAAAGCCACCGGATAATAGCTTACACATCGAGATATTCCTCTTAGACTAAGTGACAGGTTTGATGGCCTTGTGCCTGCTTAAAGCTGCCAGTTACCTTTCAAGAAATTAGAACCTAAGGTGCGCTGAACCACACCGAAGTCTAGATCGAAGTTGTTCATGCAACTATTACTTAACTTCATATCTGAAGACATTTCCCCATTGCCAACTCATCGACTTCCTGTTGACGCCGGCGTAGCTTAGAGAAGACAGCAATGGTATTCATTTGGCTATCGATGTAGTTAAATATCTTCTTGCATCGACTTAACAGCGAAATTAATACGTCAATATTTCATGTGAACAAAGAGAAGCTATACTAGTTAGCTATCTCGTGATCGAGTGAACCCTGGAGCATTCGGTGTGTGTTGTTCTCTTGTGATAGAGTCTTTTCGGGCCCTCCAAGGGTGTTAAAAGGCGAGCTGTTTCACTGAGCATCGGTGATTTCTTACAACTAAAAAACAAAGAAGTACCACGATGTTGTTTGCCGCCATAGTTTACGGTGTCGGAATGATCTTCACTGGCATCCTGATGTTCGGGGCCGTTTATCACGTGAGTCAAATTTTGGGGAAGTTAGACATTCTTACGGTTGGATGCGGCGGTATATCAAAATGCATTAAATCAGCTTCCCATTGAAGCTTATGAGATAGTACGGCAAGTGTGTTCTTCATATAGAGATAATTCTCCATTGTCTTTGACCCGGACATATTTTAAATGTTAATTTTGTCAGCACATTTAGCCAAATAACGTATACGCTAATCGATTGATGTTATGTTTCTTTTACCATTTCAAAAAATATTTTATTGGATGGAACGTTAGTCGAATCACACCGATCGCTTGCTAATGGGCAACGCTTCATTAACTTTTTTGATTGAACAAAATTATGATAAATCATATTTTGTTTTTATACCTGACGCTGTGGTAGGATAGTTTGTACTAGGTAACTTTATCTGGTATCATTTTGAACTGCTTTTAAAAAGTACGTTTAACGGGTTCGATGTCAATCAGGTTCTTATCACCGCCAATCCTCTGAACAGCCGAGTGATCGTTAATTCACATAATAAGAGCGCGCTCACCCAAAATAGCAGATTAATGTTTGACTTTCTTTTCGACGTGCATAGTTAAATATATATATATGGCTATCATTTTACGCCCATTAAGTAACAAAATTTAGGACTCATATGAATGCAAAACTATGGCATGTGTACTTGTTTGCCTGTTCTCCTTTGTCATTTCCATTTTTCTTCTAATTTCTCTTTTTCAGATAATTGCTATCGATGATTTGAGATCAAGTCAAACTAGTCCAATTGAGCAATGTCGGCACCTCAATTCAGTAAGTAAATTATTACTTTTCGACAATATGTCATATTCAAATGCGACGTAATAGTTGCTTATGCGTTATGTCTGAAGGTTTTTTCTTATATATATATATATATATCATTTGTCTAAGCATAGGCAGTAACTGAACGGTGAGACAATATTCGCTCACAGCTGGTCGGAGAGTTCCGAGTTAATACCGATGCTAACTATACATGCATTTTAGAATGAATGAAAAGCAGGAAGTTTTCTTTTTTCATCGACAAGCAGATGTAGTCTTTTTCCTCAATAGATAATCGCACATTATTTAGAATAAAGTATTTATGCCACTTACTCGATATAAAACAGTTTATCTTTTGATCATTCCCTGGTGTGACTATTAGTTATCAACGACCGAGATGCCACCATAGATCCCTTCGAAAAAAAAAACAATTTATTGAAAATAATCAAATTTATTTTGGTGTTGCCGCGAATATAATCCAGGGAAGCTGCGTACTCTAAAGCAGAGGTGTATCATTGACCAAGTCAAAATATAAGCAAATGAAACGCTATGCGCACCTGATTTAACGATAGTGATTCATAGGACAAACGGTTCCATCAGAAGTTTTTTACTCTGACAAAGCTTATTCGGCGACATGGCAGGTTGGACAGCATGTGAGTTAAGAAAAATCCACTTCTTCGATAACAACGGCTCCGTATATGAAACTCTCTATTAACTGAAATCGAATAGCGCTTGAATTACAGCTTTAATTATATACTTACAGTGATGTCATACAAAAAGCTAAATATTTAGCCTCTTATGAGCTTTACGTCCGGCATTACCGTTAGACATTGCTTTGGGAGGCCGGTTCCCAACGTAAAATGTGTGTCTACATTTGGTTTCGAACAAAGATTATCACGTGGCGCTAAGTTTAATAGGCAATTCACGGGGAGATAAGTCGTGACTAGGGCTATCCAGCCTTTGTGGGACCGCAGAGATCTTCCACGACTTTGCGCGTCACCGTTCAAAAGGTGCCTGTGCCTGTAATCTCCTGATCGCTTGTGTATCAGGCGTGAATATTTGAGTTAATACCAATCGAATGCCTGGCAAGTGATACACTTGAAGGGCTGGGATTGATCGATGTGTGGCTTTCTTTTGTCCGAATAAATTTTCAAAAAGAAGTTTTTAAAGTCTGCAAGACTAAGTGGAGACCCGCTTTTTCGATGCGAACTGAAAGATGCTAGATGCAGATCTAGAGCAGAAGTAAAAAATAAACTTAATGCCGTTCAATCTTTGGAATTAACCTTTGAATCTAATTATAAATCTCGTAGTTTTGATAGCATTTCTAGGTGCAAGATCAAACACTGATTGGATACATAAATGGTTGCGGTTTAGAGGTTACGCCGTATCATGGAGTATCAAAAGCCGCTGCCCCTTACCTTAATTTCGTTTCAATCCTGTAATATGAAGGTCGTCGCTTGTCACGCTGCTTTCAGATCGCTTGGGATCTTTACATCTGACTGGATTTGCCTTCCTTCGCTTTAGTTCGTTATGTACCTGATTATCTGATATATCGTTAATATTAATCAAGCACATCTAACTTTACTGTGAATGGTGGTAACTAAACGCACATTAAACAACCGTTTTCTTCGTTCTCCCAGCGAATGTTCCTGTTATATTGATATCATAAATCTGATTTTCCTTTTTCAGCTAATTCTTCCTGAATATTTAATCCACGGAATTTTTTCCGTTCTATTTTTATTGGCTGGCGAATTTCTCACAGTTCTCATCAACCTTCCATTGGACGCCTTTCATATTATGAAATACATGAACAGGTTAGTGACTCCAGTCGGTCGTAATCGATTTAAGTTAACGAATCGAAAGCAAACGAATAAAAGACATACTCGTTCATAAACCGTGTTTTATTAAAATGCTGGGTCCGCATGGCATATTCCCGATTAGGACTTGGGCATTAGGTCAAAGGCAAAAGTCTATGAATTATTTTAGGAGCTGTGCCTACTGAATGGACTAGGCTATCGTCAAATTGTGTTTAACAATCGTCTAACTTCGTAACTAGTATATTGTCTATGATGTAATTGGCGGATTTTTTCTCAGGCCGGTCATGTCAGGGCCTGGAATCTATGATCCAACGACCATTATGAATGCGAACGTTCGGGATCAGGCTTACAAGGAGGGTTGGTGCAAAATGGCCTTTTATTTACTCTCATTCTTCTACTATCTGTATGGGTAAGTGAATCGGTAGCACATAACATTATTAATATGATATGCTTAATTAAATTCGGGGCTGCCAGGAAACTTGGATAGCATTGACGTTGAATAACGTTACGAAATAGACTCGTTTTGGTTGGTGACTGAATTCAACTGCCCCTAACGGATGTTCATATACATTTGGTCCAGCCAAGCTCAGCCGACCAATAGCTAAAACACATAGAAAAACGTCCATATTCATTAATAGTTTATCTGGTACGACTAGCATATCTAGCTTCTCACTTAATTTGTAGATTTTAGAGCACAGTAATTTACTTTATTAACAAATTTACAATTACAAGACCGCATCAGTTAACGTGTATCCAACTAAGTTAGGATCAGACGCTTCCTCGCTCCATATGCAAACCAATCGCAGAGTAATTTTATAATTATTTCAAAAAAAAAAACTATGGCTTGCTGACAAATCTGTTATCTTCTCGAGTTCAATCAGTGGTATAGATTTCAAAAAAGGTCTGTAGAATAAACGATTAGAGATTAATCTCAACATAGACGGATTATCCAGTGTAATTAGAGTTGACATATCCCCGCACCCCACTCCTCCGAACCGCAACGTATCAGTAATCTCTCCATTAAATCAACTTTCCGCATTGTGGGAGAGAGGGCAATTCAGGAATAGCGCTGTGGGAAAAAGAGCTCTGAGGAATATCACGTAGAAGCATTGGACGATTATTAATGTGTGCTCTCCTCTACCTTTGTTTGTCCTACCGTTGTTTGACCTTTCCACTAAATGTGAGCCTGCGACTGTATTCGATAAAGAATTGCTCTGTTAGATTGATCTTTTTCATGAGGCCCCCTTTTATTTCACGTCATTAGAGCGGTTTCAGCTGCTCAGGCGAACAAGTTTTCTTGCCCCAGTCACAATTCTACGTATTTCTCGAATTTATAAGCGAATTGCACATTCTGTAATATTAAAAAGGATCAGTTTATCCATTGGAAACGAATAGCGGCTTTTATTTTTTATTTTTTTTTTAGCGGAATTAACTGCTAGTCTAGCATTAAAAGGTTCTTTCAGTTCGCTTCGCTACAAGGCGATTGTGGTCCGTTTCGTCCGGCTCACCAAAATTTATCTTGACTTCCGACTCAAAAAAAAGATAATTTTTATGGCAAAAGACGGCATTTTCAAAGCCTATGAGTTATCTAGTACCGAGTTTGAAGAAGCCGCTAAAACAACCCCGTAAAAATGTGGCGTAAACGACCAAACTCTGTAGCAAAGACTGCTATTCCAAAAGAGCTTGCTACACACAAACGTGCCATTATCTACCTAAAGAACGCATTTTAGTAGGATTTTCGAATTTGACAAAGGACTTCAGTCAGTGAAGATGCTTGTTAACTGAGCCACCCCAGGCTCGTTTGCTATCAGGTCTTCATGGTAAGCGAAAAATCTTTCATGAATTACTTCCATTGTTTTGTGATAACTGCGAAATGTCGATGTCCCACACACACTATTTCCTCATGCAACGTAGCAATCTTTGCAGTCCAAACTCAACGTGAAAGAAATTCCGACTCGAAAGAACAGTGACAACCCACCTGAAAACAAAGAAAAGAGCTTTGACAGGGAAAAGAGGAACGGGAGGCCATTTGTATAGAATAATTAGCAAATAAAAATCATTAAAAAGACGAAGTAATACTTTCCCAACAACCTAATAAAAACCTGTAGCTCACTGCAAGATGTGTTATCGCTGTCATTGTCGTCGTCATCTTACAGAAGTATATTCACAGCCTTTGGTTGTTTGCGATCACTGTTTATTATATTTGTTTCCGTATAGTAAATACTGTGTTTAGACAGAAAGCTCGAAAATATATGAAATGGCTCTAGATTAGCCTTAGCGCGTGGATCGATTTCTCAAACATGGCTTCCAATAAGAAATTTTGGAAATGCAGGGTTTGAATCTTTGAGGAGATCGTTTCTAGTTGCGAGCAACGAATGCTCTATGATGAATCTCGTCATTTAGCTGGCTGTTTTTTTTTTAATATCATAAAAAACACACGCTATACAGTTGCAGCTTCGTGCATACGATAAGATATCCACTTTGCTTTTCTGATTGCAAGGCGAATATATCCGATGCTTGCATTGAAAACGTGTGAATACTTTGCTTATCATTGAATTTAGATGTTCAGAGTAGCGACTAAGTTGCGAAATTTCGTCATGACTTTATAGCGCGTAGAACTGAAATTGAAAATGTTTCTTTCAAAAATGATTATAATCACCTGAAGAGGTGTAGGACTAAAGGAATTTTTATCCTTGAAAACCTTACTGAGATAACATTCTGTCGAGCATAATGTAGTTTATTTTATTTCGCAGCCCATTAGGCTTTCTCATGGGGCTGGGCCACACTACAGTGAACACCGAACTTTTTTTTTAACATTTTCGAAGTAATTGTCAGCCTTATTCAAGGGACTTAATCTCGTGGTTGATTTGTAAAAACGTATTAATACGATTAGTAATTAGCAAGATCACAATGCCTCTGATATCCAAACCCGATACTGGGCATGATTCAAGTGCCTCTGTAAATTCGACCGTAATATAAGCCAGTATCAAGACAGTATAGAGACACCAACGATAACAAAAGCATTCGACTCCGAACCTCTAGTGAGGCTTTCTACAGCTCATAAATTGTGCTTACAATATTGATGCCGATAGACCCTCGACATTTTCGGTGTCGTGTGCTGATTGCACCTTGGAAATGGTCCGAACAGAAAAAAACCGTTTTTTATTATCGGAACAAGAAGAAAATCTACATCTTTCAGCGGCAATAAATAACAGTATCACTCGTTATCGTACAAAAGTTTACTGCAAACAATCGAAGCACCGCTTACTGTTAGCTCTTCTCCAGGTGAAATATAAAATTTAGTAAATTTCTACAGGAAAATGTAAAATTAACATAGTACAGCTGGAGACGATGTTTGTGTATTACATACAAATTATATGTTGCTTGAGTTATGTACTACGCAATTTACTTTGAAACTTCACTGTATTATTTCAGACTTGTGAGTTCCCTCATGTGAAGCAGATGATGGGAGGATACTATAAGGGCACAATAAAGCATTAAGGCGATCTAGCCCTTTTAAAGCAGAAGTTACCTTTCGCCTCCGCTACGCCTGCCTTTTCAACCTTCTCGACAAAGGCATAATAATTACACCGTGTACATACAAATATAATGTAAAGAAATAGATATACTATGAATAAGAATTGTTACTTTAACTATATAAGTGTCTTCTTTTCACACTTGGATACCTTCTGTCGGGTTGTTTTAGATATTAATGTTAATTAACTCTTTTTGCATTGGAATCGATTTGTCTTCAAAATATCAAATACGGACGAGTGACCTGCACACCACAGACTACAACTACGCTATTTGTTTAACTTAGTGGTCGATTCACTCGTCCACAATTCCGTATCTATACCCTACTCATCATCTTATAAAAACAGAAGTTCCGTGTTCCTGAAATACAACGCGATTATAGGTAGAACCTCGGACATTATTGGCCGCACAAGCTATACACACGGTTAATTTCTGACTTGTGACATGAGGAGTGCCTCCCATTTTGAGTTGAAAACATCTTTGGTGATACAATAATACTGGAACCTATACTTAAACATAATTTTAATTAACTCTCAAAAAGCTATCTGTTTTAAACCTTAAGAGTTCACATGCTAAATTCCTGGTGTTGAATTAATTTGGTATTGTTACCCAAGTGTCAAGAAATACATCTCATATACGACAAATAGCCGTATTAGAGCTTCGTTACTCATCCAAAGTGCAGCAAACCAGTTCAATTATTCCAAGGGATTTTCGAATGATCTATGTCAAAGATGGAAAAAGATCTATACTTCAGTTGCTAACTAAGTTAAATCATTCCCCCATACAGTGGACTTCTAGAAAAAAAAACGGATCGAATTATTTGAAGGGAGTTTACACGCTAAGGCATTAATGGTTCAGGCAAAAGGTTTAACTTCTCTAGTAAAGGCTCTAGTCATCGAATATATATATATATATATATATATATAAATATTACATATATGAAATGACCTGACTAACAAGAATGGAAAAAAATGCTAGCAGTCCGACTGTCGGAATTTGAAGGGACTTGAACAAAAGTCTCACGTTGATCCTTGCTTTATTCATTGGATTCTGTACATGTTCCGGGTGAAAAGTCAGCCATAAGAGAACCTTAAAACTAGAGTAGTGGTTTAATTTTAATCTTACTGAACGTCGGCCTTGTCTTCTCAGAAAGACAGACCCAATTCTCCTACAAGTCATTATATACTAAATCTTTCCGTTGATGGAAATGATGCTTTGCATGATAATGAGCGATCAAAAAACTATATATCATGTACATAGAAATTTGATCGATTTTCAAAGGTACAAAATTTTTTTAGAATACACACTTGAAAAAATCTACATGTATCTATAGAAAAAAGCAACCCAGCAGCATATTTCGAGCCTTCCTTATGTGTCACGTATACGACTTTCTTTTAAACGGTGATGATTAAACGGAGCAGTAATGCCATCATTGCAAAAAATAAGAAGACAATGAATCCTATTGAGGCTTGTTTGACGTATTCTATGTACCTCTCATAGTAATAACACGTATGTCGTCATAAATATTCATATTCTGTGGTGTGCAGGTGATTGCTGTTTAGATTGTTAGAACAGTTCTATTCTTTAAAACATTGCTTACAGCTTGAAGGTCTACCTTCAAGCTTTAAGCATTTACCGATCCGACCTCTATATCATTAGAAAATAATGCGTTACATGTCTCTGGTACTTGAACAGTTTTGTCAAGAGTCAAATGAGTTAAAATCCGCTCTATTTGGAGGATCACCGGTTGCAATAAATTCTTTGATGTCGTCCTGGTCTTGTGGGCGTTTGCCTTGAAGCAACTCCATTAGATAGTTATATTTTTTTTTCATTTTAGTATGGAGCTCCCTCTTGAAGCAGCCTACTGTCAATCAGTGTTCAAAACTTGTTATTGCATGTACTAATACTGCATATGGCTATATTTGGCCGTTATATAGAGAAAGAGCTGTTTCTCACGAGATATCTTTACTGCTTACTCAAGAGTATTTCTAATATTTTTTTTGTAAATGATAAGTGATATGATACTAAATCATTGCGGGTTCCGACCGGCAAGCTGTTGTAATTTTAAATTACCCCTACTGCCTACCCCTAATTAAACTACCCCTAGTACCTTGTCACTGTAATGAAGGTTTTGATTGTGAATATAGTAAATTATCGATTAACAAACGAATCAACATGTTGTCGCCGATCTTTGCGTCAAGGTTCAAGGTATTTCGAGTACAGCAATGATATCAACTGTATCTAGATTTCAGACGCCGAATTATGTAGCTCCTATGTTTCTGAATATGGATTAAAGACAGGAGTTCTTCAATAGTAAGTGTGCTGATCGTACTACTTCCATCGCGCTCATTTTTTTTGCCACTATATTGGGCCCTAACCGAAATTTTTTACCAGTCATGCTTTTGATCTTTTTGGCCAAACGCAACATACCGTTAGAAAGCTAATTCTTTATTCTACCAATAGTTTTATCTGTAGGGTTTCATGGAAAAATACATGCATAATTCTATCCTATGCTTGAACCTTGAATCGTATCTTCGATACAAAGATCATATTCCCCGTCGAATCCGATTTAGCTTTAATAGGAGACTAGAAAAAAAGCAAACGTTCATTTTAGACAACTCAGCGAAATTCGATGACCGAAAAGAGAATCTTAAACAATAATTAATTCAGGTCTTTTATCTTTAGCTCTAATTTATGTTTTTACTATCTTATACTCTCTTCAGTATTTTAAGATTCGTCTCAAATCTTTTTTGCTTCTCTCCAAAAATCTTTATTGTTTATTCAATTGATTAAAGCCGGTTTTTCGTTTTTTCTGTGTATTTCTTTGATACGGGATCCTATATTCTTACGGCTATTATTTTGAATATGGTTGTTTCACAAAGTGTTGAATTTTTAGCATTCTCAGAAACACGGTGCGTTCATTTTGAAACCCAATACATTTTTTTGCGACCAATAAACGACAAGGCTAGCGAAATTGCGAAAGGGCGCCTAACCACCCATTGGAAAGAAGCAGGGGATTACAAACTCTGTGACCGCCTACTATAGACCGGCGTGCCTTCTACCAGGGGGCGCAAACGCTCACCCGATATTCGCTTCGACGTTCTCGTGAAGTCAAGTAAGCATACGAGTTATCTCAGACTCGTCTATATACAGACTTTTCGATCTGCCAAATATATCGTTATCATTAAAAACGTCAACGTCTACCTCGAATTTTCTAAGTATTAACTGTTGGATTAGTAAAAGTGTTTCCACTTCCCTTCGGGCGTTCTCTAATATACCGCTCAAAAGCACTCTTCCTGCTCTGGAAACGTGCTAACGGTATTTTCCGGAAAACACAATCTCGACTTGAAGAAACTTCACAAGGATAGATACTTTAGGTGAAAAGGAACCCATTTTCAGCACTTTTTGTTGTATGTCTTTAGTCGAAACTTAACGCGCCTAGAAAATTTACCTTGGACACGGTAACAACACTATCGAAAGAAGACTGCTCAAAAATGGTTTGACACGACTGTCGTTGATTGCTCCAATTCCTTTAGATTCACAAAAAAAAAATTAGAGCATGAGTACCTAATGAGCTTAACGCATCAAATAAGAAATTATCGTTTGACATACTATTTCAACATTTCACCCTGTATCGGGCGACCGTTGTTGTTCTACAGAATTGTTCTCGGTGATGAGGAGGCTCAATAGATTTATTTCGTAGTAAACATTTGTCAACGCAAAGATAGGGCCCATTTTGACATAGTCTAGTTTATCTGTTGCTTGCTGTTATGTAGCAAGTGTAAAATTTCATTTTATAAATCAAATAATCAAATGCCTATTAAAATTGATAATAACACGACCGCGCATACGAGGATTAAATACGACGCTGTGGTTCCATGAATTTGAAATAAGGAAACTGCTGCAAGTCACCGCCTAGAATAAAAAAACTAATTTAGGTAAAACGTATCTTGTTGTGAATGATGAGAAGATTCATGTGGAAGCCACTACAAGATAAAGAAGCCCCCAAGGATACCAAACACATTTGTCATGCCTATGGACATATGAATACATACATAGACACGATGGTCTCACTTCTTAACGGCAAATTTAGATTGACGACGATCAGTGCGACAGGTTGGTGACGTTGAATCTGTGCTCTACGTCGTGGACGCACTGTAGTATCAACAGGTGCTGTTCTCCCAACGAGCTGATTTACAACGGCAAAATGATTATCTTCATTACAAATTAGGAGATGTACAAATCAATCTGTTATACGTGCTCTAGACGTTCTAGCCTTATTTCGCTTAAAATTTCATTAGGCTTAACGTATACAACTATTGCGTAATAAAAACAATTGACAAAATTAATTTGAGTAACTTCCTCTTTGCATAATTTTTAATGATGAGAAACCAACCTCTGTCTGCCGCCTTCTCGTAACGCTCTACCCTAAAACGCCACCATTAGCTAGCCGCCGTTTCGAAGTCGGAGCGAAAGCTCGAATAGTTCGTCTTTGATGTCTTTCCACGAGAGTCTTCACGTTTCGTTCATCCCAGACACGAGCAAGTCGGGAAGCGTATATAATGTTGTGAATTGGTTTTGTCACCGCCGCTGCTCGTATGCCTGCACACCTATGGCGTTGTCTACCAGCCCCATCCTAGCTGTCTACCCAAAACAGCACAGCGTCAACTGTTTATAGCCATAGCACCATATTCGCCTCAGGTGATTCTCTCCCCCGCGGCGCTCCGCCAATCTTCGTTGTTGTGGTTCGCAAGCGGCTTCTGCTGCTGTTGAGAAGTTGAGATCTACCACAAACAGCAGTCGCCATAAGCATGAGCGTAGAAAGCTCCGGCGCCAGGAGTGTTGGCAAGGGACATTGATCGCGTGACGAACGCAGCAGAAAAGGCAAGGATACGTGGACATCAGAATAGAGGTAGCAAACTTGCGGCAGTAAAAAAAGAATGAAGGAGTGAGAGGGTCGACAAATAATAAGAGTTAGGGCGCTGTTCGAGGCTGTGGATAGGCCATCGAAAAGAACAAGGCTGCTCGCAGTTCCGGGGTAGTCAAAAGGGGAAGTGGACATTGGTGCTGTGTCCGTCTGGCGAAGGACGAACACTGTGAAGACTAACGATGCGGACGGAGTGGAATGCTGCTAGAAGTCTGCGGTAGCAAGCAAGTTGCTAGTCGACTAGGCCACAACAGGTAGAACGAATGTCTCGTTGAAGGAGTCTCTCGCGCGACGGGGGCTTAACATTACCCCCGATTTTTTGGAGCTGGATCAATCATCTGTCGACGCCGAAGTGAAGATGGTCTATAGGCTTCTGATCTGTGCTCAGGTGCTGTGACCCTGTAGTGTTTCAAACAGAGAACTAATTCAGGAAAGTAGTTGTACAAAGCGGAATATAGTAGAAACAAAGCAAAAGCGTGTGCGGACGAGTAGAGAATTCGTCAAAAACTAGAAGAATATGGAAGCCGGTAATTCTACAATGCATTTGTGCATGCATTTCTATTGTATGTAAATGTTAAGGTACCCCGCAGATGAAATAGCAGTAGCGAATTCTCTTACAATGACGATGGTAAAGATACACCATAGCGAGGGTCAAGAACGTTGATCAGACACCTTACGGGGCTGTCTTCCATTTTAGCACAGATATTCCACGAATTCTTTTGAAACGATCTCGAGTTTCATTGTCCTTTAACTGTCACTTCTCAAGCTGTTGACGAAGTTAGTCGAGCCGCCGCCGCCGCCCCCGGATTTTACGTCCCAGCCACCACTTCTTTCATTTTCGTCTATAGTTGTTCCAGCGTTAGCCCTTTGCCATCATAGGCAAGGAGGTTTCGTGGCTCCTCACCAGCTACCAGCTCTGCCAGAAGGCCTTCTTTCTTGCACGGCGGCTGGTTTTGGCCAGAAGAGCTTGCGCATGGACGTGTATCTGGTCGGCCCTTTCGCTAGCTAGCTTGTAGTCAGCTTGACCGTCGATCACCAATCGAGTCCACGGGTCTGATGCGTGACTCTCAGTAGTGCCGAGCGAAACTCCGGCGTTGCGTCCACGCTACAGCTTAGCTCAGTTGAGAAAGCGAGCGAATTGTCGGCAGTAACAGCGGCAGCGATTTTCCAACAGGCAGCAACGTAAAATCGCCAGCACTAGCCGTTGCAGTAGTGGGTGAACAACCGTAAGAAGCTACTATCAGAAAGGACGGTTCTATTGAACACAACACTATCAACGATAACCACTGGCATTTCGACGGCTTACAGTCCAATCTGGTCTGGTGGCACCAGCAGTTCGTGGCGGATCAGAACGAATTAATTCGCATAGTTAGTTGCTATAGCTGTTTACTATTCGGACGTTCAAACGCTGAGCGTCCAGCGCTAGTAACCAGTGACGAGTGACCATTAGAATAGGCCACTCCGGTGACAGCCATTCCGGCGCCTAACGGCGTTACCCGCTCACACTGGTCTAGCGATCGTTGTCGGAATCGGTCAAGCCGGCGTGTGCTAATTTTAGGAAAGATCTGCTGGTACTCGTTAACCGAACAAAATGTATCCATCCATTAGGATAAGCGTCGACTACTAACAATAGACAATACACAAAGAATACAGTCAACAAATATCAGCCGCCGATTATAACAGAGAAAGTGAACAGGAGAGCGAAGCTTAACCTAGAGTTAGTTAGACTCCTGAGTAAATAGGAGTAATTTAATCATAATAACAACAAAATCGATCCTGACTATACATCGAGATGATAAGGACTTGTACGGTTGAGCTTCGGATTCGTTCTGACCAGTTTCATTAGCGATCTGTTTGGTGTTGCATGGTGAATCATGGTAGTAATAACCGGTCATGTAGTGCAGAGAGCGGCGTATCTGCCATAGTATCATTTGTTTCGTCGAAAGTGTGCAATCGTGTTATCTGGACATTTGGCGCGTGTTTTCCCTATCAGGCTGTAGGATGGTTTAAGCAGACCGTCGCGAGAAAGGGGTGTAATATAATTCGTACGGCTGCTTACGGTTGATCGACAAACCACGCGAGACGAAAGAGCCTGCCATGCGCGCTCGGGTGGCAGAAAACAATCACGACATACGGTCTACAACAGTGGCAAAATGAACTACGTAAAGTAGAACGTAATAGGTCTCGTGCCACTTCTGAAGTGACACAAAAAGCAACTATACGAAGCTTTGAGTTTTTAGAGAAGAAGAAAAAACAATTATTCTGTATCATGGAGGGATAGTATCGATGAACTGCCTTGTTCAGTAAAGCCGCCCGGTGTGAAGTGTTGCATTGTGCATTGAAATTTGGCCGTAGTGCTAATTTAAGATTAGAGTTTACGCTGTTTATGGGCAAACAGTTAACACCTATCGTCAAGATCACCGAGTCATGGCTTTCATAAGATATCTGCAGGAAAGAGTCGATTAATATCACCGCTAATTATTCGTATTCGTTGATAGTTGGGTTTCGCGAGCGTGCATAATTGCTTTTTTCATGCTCATAGCACCAGTGGCAGTGGTAACCTTTTGTGACCACTTGCGCCACTTGAAAGTGATATTTGCAAGATAATCATTTTTTTTCTCGTCAAGCCTTTATGCGGTTCCTTTGACAAAGCATTTCTACCTTATAGATTTACTTCCGTTGTTATGAGCACATTTGATAACAAACAGTCACTTAACTAAAAAAAAGGTGGACTTAGACTCAAAATAGTTGCCTTTACGTGCACCCTAATCTTTTTATGTGCAGTGATCAGCATTGACAAGCCGTAAACATCATATCGAACAAGATCTGCGCAAATATCAATTTCGTTCACAGCGTTCAGTTGATGACACGCGTATCGCCGGAGAGAGTGGCCACAGATCAGCTGTTGCATTTAACCGGCAGCGTTTTGCAGTTGCTGCTGCACGCAAGGGCACCATGCGAAGATTGAAGTGCAGGAAAAACATGGCAAAGGTTCTGGCCTAATGTAGCACATATGTATCTAGTCCAGAATTGATTGCGTCCTGTTGTCTTCTAAGACGAGAACCTGCCTAAACATTACGTAGACTGAATGCTCCCTATCTAAAAGCAAGCCATCCATTTATTTCGCCGAACGATGCGTGCCGGCGTGGTGTCACTAGGATAGAATTCGTGGATCAAAATGCAACCACTACTAAGGCCCTCGGTACATATGGGCATCGTCCTAATCGTTGCATTGTCATTGTCCTACAGTTCAGCAACGGATGCCTTTTAGTGCAATTGCAACTCATAGAGGAAAGACAACAGCGGTGGGCTGTTGGCAGTTTTTCTTCGCGCGAAGACCTCGACAAAAGCAGGGAACAAATCGAGACTTACGGCCGTGAGTTTGCATAATCCAAAGCAATTCATTCTCTTACGTTGCTCATAATCCAGTAGCTCGACCGGTGATCAAAGCAGCCGCCATCGTTGGCGTTCGGTTAGCGAAAAGCTGGAAAAAAGAAGATTGGACTGTCAATCAGTGAGTGTGGATGGATCAGTCAGACATCGGCCGACCGTGTATTGTTGTGTGTTGCTGAGAAGTACAATTGTCGGTTGGTGAAAAAGGGTTGGTACCCGTTAGTCCAACTGGCGAGAAACAACGGACGTAAGGTGAGCGCAAGACAGAGAGGAAGATAAAAACCAGAGTATACCCAAGGTTCCCAAAGATGAACGTGTTATCTTATAGGTATTATAAGATTATAGTTTGAGCTAGGTTTTGAAATATATTGCTGTATAGACATGGTGGAAGGACGCAGACCAATAGATTTATGTTTAATTTTCAGTCAGATGGTGTAGAAACTGACAGAGAACGTGATATAACTTCCAAATTAACTCAGCTCTGCAGTTGGAATACAGGAATATTAGAAAAGGCTCATTCACAGAGAAGGCGGGGGGAGAGGCGATAATAGGAGAGAGAAAAAAATAGGACATACGTATTCGATTTCTTGCCTTGCCGACTTGCAAGAGTTAAAGTAACATTCATGGTGTTTATTTTCGTGATTACACAGGGTTGTCAAAAAAGTATTGACGGTTTCTCTAGCTAGATTACTTTGAGATTACACGTCTTTGATAATGAATCATGTCGAGCCAGCATTAGTGCCGTTTAAAAGGTGAGATCTGACAGTTGTAGATATACTAAAGCTGTTTGTATCACTTTTACTCAGACCCAAAATAAAGCGGCTTAAAGATAAGCGGATTTTCTACAAAAAAAATCGCCATCTTTTACAATCTCTCAATGATAAAGACATAAATATTGTTCAGACCTATAAACAATTTCTGATGTTCATAGGCTTGAAACGATTTTTGAACTGGAAATTTCGATGTACGAGTACGAAAATGGTTGATGAAATTAGCATGCTAAAGTTGAACGAGGGCGACGCGTAAGTAGCCATGACATTGCCAAGAAACTCAATATTCATCACCAAATAATTTTAAACCATTTGCAGAAAGCTGACTACAAAAAAAAAAGCTCGTTGTTTTTGTGCAACACGAATTGACGCAAGAAAGAGTAACTCAATCGTACTTTTATCTGCGAAATTAAACGGAAACGCAACGAAATTGAGTGATTTTGAAAGCGGTTGACCGTGGGCAATAAAAGTAGATCACAAACAACAGTGATGCACAAAAAATGCGTTAAATAATTTGTGGTCCGTACCGACATCCAAGTAGATGCTTGATGGAACTGGAACGAAATCGTGCATCATAAGATGACGTCGATTGGCAAAACAATTGACGCAAACCTCTACTGGTTTGCTTACAACTAATAAGATCACAAGGAGCCATAGAAAAATCGAACGGGACTGCTAAACAAAAGGGGCGTCGTCTTCCTGCATATTAGACCGCATGTACCTTTGGTTATCCAAGAGAATTAGAAGAACTTGAATGGGACATTTTGATACTTTCGCCTTATAACCAAGATCTTGGAGCAAAGGATTGTTATCTGAAAGAGTCCTCGCGGAACTCCTGCGATGGTATATATTTAATTTCGAAAGAGGGATCACATGTTACCATTTTCGAAATTATCCGGTGATGGGATCACAGTGCTAGCAGAAAAATGTAGAAGGTCATCGATCAAAATAGCGTATATCTAATATAGTAATACTGCTTGAAAGTATTTTAATTAATTTTGGCTTATAAAATCTTCATCGATTGTTTTCACTTTTTACTCTGAAGGCTGACAGATTAAGACTGCCCTGGTTGAGGAACGGGCCCGTCCATTTAACCTTGGCCTTTGGTATCTGTACTAAAATCAAGGCGATCCATCTCAAGTGCTAAAACTACGGTTAATAGTGGGGAAAAAAAAAGCTTTTATCCGATTCATTATTCTACTATTATATTAGTAGTTTCAATTCTAGTAAGAAGTAACAATAGTTCCATTGTTTCGGGTGTAGCGTGCACTATTTCTAGCATTTATGTAGTAAGCAAAAGATGCAGTAGTTAGCTTGCAAGATACTGGCAAGAATTTGCAGTTTAAGTAAGTATATACATTTCATGATAAAATATTTGCACTATGGAAAAACAAATTACATGTTAGACAGTAACGAAGGTTGCGAACAGAAACAAGCGACATACTGTTATTATGTACATGACAAATATATATGAGATTGTTTACTATTTAATGGGAGTGAACACTTGCAGTGATGTAACTAATACTTTGCAAAAGCATAAGTGCAAATATCGATTATAAATCTATCTGTATATGCGAATTAGTATATGGGTCATGTCTTCTAAGATAAAAAAAAATATCTGCTTAAATTACTGCCGAGATCCAAATGCGGTTAGGTGCCAATATGGCAGAAACATAATTGTGTCGTGCTCTACAAACATTAGCTATCTACTTGAAAATCAGACGAAAAGCCAAACTGGATTCAGTTTCCAGGCAGTCGTAGAATTTACACTTTACAACTGTACTAGTCGATCAGTGTATAAATAAACATTTGTTCATCATTTTTGTAGCGGTGTTTATCATGTTGTAGTTATGGCACAACTTGATGCATTTCGGTGATGAATGAAAAAAAAAGTGTTTGTTGTCGATGGCTGGTCCTTCGCGCTCTCTCGAGCCGCTTGACGTATTATGAGACTAAAGTTTCTTTAGTTGTGCTGCGTGAAAGTTTTACTTATTTAAATAAATTAATTTGCTAAACAAAGAACGGTTATAAGAAGGCTTTCACTTCGAATGGATTTCCAAGCTACTACTATGGGATCCAACTGAATTGGTTTTTCAGTACAAGGTTAATGGCTCCGCGCAGAAATCCAAATCGATTTAGATGGGAAATATTTAGGTAGACTACATTAAAACACCAATGGTGCCAGGATAGATAGGTGAGCTCTCAGAGGCATTTGTTGTATGCTCAAAAAGCAAACGCTGTCGCGTACCTTTGCCAACAGCAGTTTGGTTTTACATTGCTTTTCGCAGATTGAATTAACTGATCTTAATGTTGGGACAAATACATTTAACTAGAAATACCCGTATTATCTGTCACCATTTTGCCTATAGCCATGCCAGTATGCTCCAGACAAATTCATGCTTGTATCCTTGGGTGTGAGAGCTTACCGATCGGGAATTCATGATTCAAACTTTACTATGATATCCACGAGTTGGGTGTTTGAACAAGTGATGTCTTGTAATAAAAAATAACCAACTATTGTTTTGCGGGAGGACGATTCATACTTTTGCTTTTTTTCTTCAATATTATTTAATTAACGTACGCTGCAAAATGAAGAGTTTTCTCTTTCGAAATCAAATAAAGCGAGCAACTTTTAATATTTTAAAAATTAATGTCTTTCTCCATGTAGCTTGGTTTTGGCAACACGAACACGCTGAAGAGGGGAGCCAGTCATATAAACTAGGTAGATCCGAGTTAAAATGATGATCTACAGCAAAAGAATAATATATCTAAGTATTTCTCGTTATGAAATGTAGCCATAAATGCAATACGCTTCTAACGGAACAAAGTCGTACAACCAAGAGAAAACTCTTCTTCATTGGTGAAGTCGAATTAGGTTAAATGCGCGGACGTGCAACCATGTGGGGGCCCTCCTTTCAATACTTAGTCTCCTTCTAGAATATGAACTTCTCAATTTATCTATCTGTCCATTTCTTGTATATATATATATATATATATATTGTCCTAGAATTGAATTTTCAGTGTTTACTGAGCTTAACTTATACTGGGGAAAGCAGAGCCCATGGAACCGTATGAAACTGCCAAAGGTCATCCAACATTTTTGACAGCGCGCGACTGTGAAATTCGCACAAAAATTAATGTCGAATATTTTTTTCGCTCAATGGGATTCTGCTGCTCGTGAATTACCTTGCCGATACGATAATTTACCCCTAACATCCTGCACCATGCTACATTCATATATATGAGCCCGAGGTTTGTCGAAGAGACCGTCACGATGTAATGACATCAAGCACATATTTCTTGAACTAATAAAGAATAGTATGCACAGATGGCTATATTGACCCGTTCATCCCTCATGACGCTTACTTAGCAACTGTGCTACAATTTCAATTACTATTACTATAAAAATTCCTTCGAGACTCCTTTGTTGATCATTTATTACATTGCTAGACCTTTGTGCAAAATCGTCATTGAAAATTGTTTATCTTATTCTGAAATAAGAACGAAAGCGCAAACACTTAAACTTTGAACCGCATTAAACAATAAATGGAAGGTTCCTCAGGTTAATGGCGGTACTTACTTTTTTCGTTATCAAACGGGACAAAATAATTTTACTTGTAGGGTTGATCGGCGATTATCCACTTTCTGTTATGAGTTTCTGTTCTGGGAAAGACGTAAACATTTAAGGTTGTTAGAGAAGATAGCTCTATTATAAAACATTTATATGTAGCTTTATCGAAGGTATTTCTACACTGTATACTGACGCAGCCCTACAATGTCGTATCTTTTACGGCTCGGCGCATTTATTATCGCGTGTTAAAAGCTCGCTTCCAAAGTCAAACTACTGTCGGAACGACCTTGGTTTTCTCAATGCGATATACCTTTTATTAACATGCGGTGCGTTATTCTTAAAGTTCTAACTAGCTAGTTAAGTTTATTACGACTATGTTTGGACGAGTCGAAGACAGATATATATGTGTATACATATAACACAACCAGACATGTCGTATGGATGCTAGAGAATATCCAGGTTAAGCAGTACATTGAAATCGAATGACTTTTATGTACGAATACCTGTCAGCGCAGTAAAGATTGCTCATAATAATAGCTTGAACTGATACGAATAATTCTATAAAACCAACAGCTATTGAGGTAACCCAAAAAAAAAAATGGCCATAACCGTAATCGTTCACAAGTGAGCCGATGCGTTAAGGGAAAGGACAGTTACGCATGTCCTGGAATGGTCTCCATTACAGGGTCCTTCATGGAGGAAAATTCCTTTCAAGAAACATTGGGTATCGAAACAGCAGGAAAAAAATTGATAAACAGATGATCAAACTCATACGATAAGATCGCATATTTTATGAATTAATAGCTATTTAGTGGAAACGACATTCCGCATTTACTATGAGCTAGGCACTAAATAAGCAAACCTGATGACACTGTTGAAGTGACTTTGCACCGCCCGGGCATCTCTCAGCT